CCTTATTTATTTTGGAGCAAATTTGGTTTATGACGTACTTTCGTACGAAGCACCCTTTTCGGGTAAGAAAATAAAAACCAGTATATTGAAACTGCTTTTGATATTTTGTTGAAATTTGGTAGGAACCCACTATGAGTGGAAACACTTTTTTGGGCAAAATTTCATAAAAATATCTAGAGTGATAAGAAACTTATGATAAAATAGTTATTTTTTTTTTTTTCTTAAAATTTTAACACCCAAAGGATTCACACCCTTAAGTATCGGCACTCAATTAATAAATACCCTGTATTAATTGATATTACCTTATTCGAACCAATCGTCTATTTTTTCGTTATTTGTATTTATATTTCACAACTCCATACTCCTAAATGTAATTTAATCTAACTAAACCTATTCACTAAATTAAAATATAAAAATAATGTAAAACCCTCTAAAAATCGAACTGCATTATAACAATATCTCGCAATGCACCGAGAAAAACAAATACGCTTCTGGTTTCCCTAATTTAGGTAACTCTGACTCACTCAAAAACGGATGAACGTCGGCAGCCGTGTTAGGATTTTTCGGTTCCTTTGTCTTAATTTCGCGCGTTAGAGTTTGGAATACGTATCCCTCGAATCTATATGCAATTATTAAAATTATGAATGAATGCGGATTTTGATTAGTCTCGGAAGTAATTTTGTAGTATTTAGGATCCACCCTAGAGTTGTAATTTTTATACCTACTAAACTACCGTTGCCCCGCAGGTCTTTCAGTTTGTAATGTAAATTTTCCTCTTAATGGAGATATTTTTGCAAATCACGCACTAAATTTGATAAAGCTGATAATAAAACATTAATTCAATATTCGCATTCATTATGAGACCACAAAAAAGTTGGATATTTCAAGAAAAAATACAATAAGAAATATAAATAAAAAAGAAGTATTGTTTAGAAACGAATATTTTCCTTTTTAAATAAAAACGTAGTTTTTTCAACGTCTAGCACTAACGTAGGTTTATTGTGTTTTCGGATTTTACAAAATTCTTATCGGCAGATCCGCTATAAATAGCGTTCCATTTAAAATCCTAGTCTTATATATTTGGTAAATTTATTGATTTATTAACTTTTATAAATTTAATAGTCTTAAAAATCTGGATTTTGATTTAAAAATCTCTCAATATTACCAATTTGTTAAACTGTTCAAATTAACTCCAAAATTGAATTCGTAAATTTATTTAAAATAAATCTTGATTTATTTATCTTGTTTTTATTTTATTTTGTTTAACATCTTATATGTAATAACTATTGTATTATTCTTGGAAAAAATAATAAATAGTAATTTTAAGTTTTTTACCTACATTCCACTCAAGTTCATACCCTTATTCCAAATACAGTTTAAACTATTATAAAGTTTATTGCACACCATATTTCATGATTTATTTTTTTTAAATTTAACTTACGCAAAATTAGTATTTACTGCAAATTAATAATCTTTTTCGCACAAAAATCGAGGAGTTAATATTTTATCTTTAATAAGATACGCCACTGGTATCGACAGACTTTTAGTTGCGTGTAACAGCAACGTTGCCAGGCGAGATCTAAGATTACAGTCTGTCTTCTTTCAATCTGCATAAAATATCTTCTTTCTCATTTCTAATAATTGGGACCAAACAAATGATACGTTATGAATGAAATGCTTCATCTGCTTCTTTTATCTTAGAATATGTTACTTCCTGTACAACGCTGTTAGTTTTTGAATCCCCGACTTCTTGATATGATTTTTCCGTTTTTTTCTTCTCTGCTAAATAAGAACCAATAAATTTATGTAAGTAAATATAACATGTTAAAATTGTTACCAAAGCAAAATGAAGAAGTTGAATCATTTATGTCAATTTTTTAAATAATTTTTCTGAAAGCAACAGAAGTAACTTAGTTGTCTTAAAGGTCTCAAAATTAAAAAAAAAAACAAATAAATTTAATAAAGTAACTTAAGTTTGTGATAAATATCGCAAATTCGTTTCATTTGTAATTGTTAAAAAGTTTGTGTTTAAATATATTGAAATATGTTTTGTACTCGTAGTAACAGAGTGTATTATTTTCCAGGTTTCATCCATTTTTGTCTAAAATTATTCTGTTTAATACGAAAAAAGTGAACTGATTTTACATTAACCTTTAAGGGAATATATTAATTGTTCGTTTTCAACTCAAAAATATACATTTTTGTACAATTATAGTTTTTGAATTTTATTAGTTTCATGTTTCAAAAATCTGCACAGAAAAGTAGAATGGCCCATGTACAACTATTTGATATATAAACAAAAAATTAATAGAAAAAACACGTATGAACTTGACCATGTTATAATATGTTCTTGTTCGGTATTACAATCAATCCATGGTAATTGGAAAAATTAAATATTCGTTGACACCAGAACAACAACAAATCAATGTCCTTTCAAACAAATCAACTCCGTTGCATACAAATTAAAAATTCGTCACCCGGACAATTCATTTTAACGACATTGATAGATAAACAACACGATTTGCTAATATATATTTATAGGATTTGTAATTCAATGTTTTTTTTATAACGCATTACCATTTCTACCATCAAATAATTAATCAACTATTAAACAGTTTCTATTGATTCCATGAATACGAATTGTGCGGTTTAAATCGTTGTTGTTTACTATTTACGCGTAGCTACATCTTTTAAATCGGCTCGAGGAAATTTTTTTAATTACTGTTGTAACGAATTGTTGATAATTTGACAAGCAATAAAATGTTTAATTAAATTTCAGTGAAGGATTTGTTATTGTACTTTCTTATATAATTTTGATATTTAAGGTGTTTATTACAATTTTCACTTATCTATTATGTGCTTCTTATAATTATTAATACATAAATTATATTTGTCTTTTAAAAATGATAGCACTGTAAAAATATTTGGCGCTTTTACCTCTTAAGAGTGCTCATGTACAAATATTTGGGCTGATAAAAACGTACAAAATTAAATAAAATATTGATTGACACAACACAAAAATTCTTTATTGAAAGATGACATACAATGCTGTCGCATTGCCATTTTCTTGTTTATTAGATGACGTTTTTTAAAACAATGAAACTATAAATATGGTGAAAGTTTAAACATAAATAATACTTTTAAAAACATTTGATATTTGATATATTTAATATTATATATAAAAGATATTTGTTTAACGATATTTTAGAAGTCTAAACGTAAAACAGTGGACACAAACGTATATTACTTCTCGTATACCGTCTAATTGGCAACGTTGTGTCGCTAGTTGTTATTGGTCTATTTTAAAAATTTTATAACTCTGGCAAATGAGTAGATAAAAAATTAAATGTAGCTTTATTTTGAACTGTATTATTCTTAAAAAAAAATTAAATTTTTGAATATGCCCCATTGTTTCCGATTGGAAAAAATACAAGCAATTAGATGTTTTTGATCTAGAACCAATTATTATTAATTTAGGTACAACTTCAAGTAGTGATGAGTCTGAATCAGAGTTCAGTTGTGAAGAAAATTATATTGATTAAAAAAATTTATATGGATTATCCAATAAATATATTCTGTGCCTCTTGTTATATTTTTTAACAAAGAATCTGTTTTATAAATTTGCAGCTGTTTTGGATTATCTTAAAAAACTCTAAAATCGCTAAAAACCAATGTTCAGCTGGGAAATTTATTTATAAAGTACGAAACTAAATTGTCCTAGTATTTGTAGACAAAATGTAAAAACGTAATCTAATTTTCTCAAAATGACTTCTTGTATTCGTGTAAACGCACCTCAATGAAGTTTACGCTGCTAAGCAACAACAAAGTGCAACTAAAATAAGAAGACACGTGGAAACTGTAACTTTAAATGCGGTACTCTTTTTTCAGAGGACTTAAGGTATTTCTAACACTTTACAAAAAATACAATCATAATCTGTTTACTATTTTTACCAATTTTTAACACTGCTACTTCAAAATAATTTTAAATGTGGAGATTAGAAATACATGAGACAATGTTTTTTAAGCTCTTAAGATAACAATATAACAAGATGAGAATTAAAAGTTCAAGCTCAAATTTTTCCACAAATTAATATGATTAAAGATAAGATTTAAAAACAACCTTTTTAACTTTAATCGAAACAGAAGGTTTGCTATAAACAAATCATATCTTACACAGATAACTGTCCCCTAAATGGCATTCCTTTTAACAGAACCATCCGTTAAATATCAAAGGTTTCGCAATTCATTAATTTCAATTTATAAAGTACTAAACTCGGGCCCCAACATTACGCATAATTATTACACAATTTCCTGTTCGAAACTCAACTCCCAAATGAAACAACTTTCTAAAACATCAACATTTAATCAAGGGAAAAGAAAAGTATAATAAATAACTTTAATAATAAACAATAAAGTGTATTCTCATAATAAATATAAGTGAAGAAAAAGTTAATAAAATAGAATCGCCCGATAGAAATAAGAAGTTCCAACAATCCCAAGAGTTTAAATATAATTTAGAAGAGTGTTTTAAATTAATATTAAAGTAGATTTTAATACAAACATTAAAACAAAATCCTGCATTCGTTCAAAAGTACAATTTTGTATATGTTGAACGATCCTTGAAATTAAAAGAAATTTATTTAAATTTTCCGACATAATATCATTAATTTCAAACACTCACCGAAAAATTACATTTGTAGTTTTTGACGATAAAAAAAATAAAATGCAAAAAATAAATGCCATAGTCACAAGCTTTAAATAAAGAATCAGCGTATATCAAAACTATTCAAAAAAACTTAATCTAATAGTAAAAATTTCATCCAGTTACTTAAATACGTCCCTAAATGGAATAATGTTGTCAGTAGAAGCTTCAATTTGTGTACATCTGATATCCATCAACTGTCAGTCTTTGTTTACGTCTATTCCATCCAAGATCGTATTGAAATAACCAGTTCCAAATAAATTAACAAACTTAAAAAAAATATAGATTAACGGCTAGATTATTCTTCAACATCAGATTGTACAGGTGTATCCTCCGCAATAGCGGGTTCTTCCTCATCGTCATCGCCATTTGGAGCGTCTTCTTCTAAAGCTCTAGCTTCGGCTTCCAACTGATCAAGTTCAGCTTGTTGCTTTTCGAGTTCAGCCATTTCGAATTTTTGTTGAATCAATTCGTCCATTTCCCGCTGCTTCCTTGTTTCTTCGTCTTCCTCTTCTTCTTCGACAGGTACGGCTTCTTGCTCTGGTTCCGGTTCATTTTGAGCTTCAAGTGCTTTAGCTTCAGCCTCTAAAGCGTCTAATTCGGCTTGCTGTCGTTCTAATTCGGCTAATTCAGCTTCTTGCCTTTCTAATTCTTCTAATTCGGCTTGTTGTCTAGCTAATTCTTCTTCTGCCTTGCTGGCTTCTTCTTCTGAAGCCTTTTGGATTAGATCTTCTTCAGTGGGAGCGTCTTCTTCGGCTGCTGCTTCTAATTCCCTTCTGGCGATTTCGTCTGCTTCCCGTTTGGCGGCTTCTTCCGCTTCTAGTTGGGCTTCTTCGGCTTCCAGGCGGGCTGTTTCGGCTAGCTCTGCAAGTTCCCGTTCTTTTCCTATAAATTTTTGTATCAATGTTAGAACTTAAGAATTCATAAACTGTAAAATATAACCCTTACGTTCTAATTCTTCTAATTCAGCTTGTTGTCTATCTAATTCGGCTAATTCTTCTTCCTGGCGTGCTAGTTCGGCAACCTCGGCTTCTTTGTTGGCCTGTTCGGCTAACTCAGCCTCTTGCCTCGCTAATTCGGCAAGCTCTTCGGCTTGTCGTGCGAGATCGGCTTCCTCTTCTTCTTTGGCTTCGCGAGCTAGTTCCTCTAAACGTTCTTGTTGTTGTCTCACTTCGTCGGCTTTGGCGTCTTCTTCTAAACGGCGTTGCTCCTCCAAACGGATGCGTTCTTCTTCTGCTTTACGGGCCTTGTCTAGTTCAGCCTTTAAATAGAAACATTGATTAATGTTGCATAAAATTTCTATAGAGATATCATTTATAAATATGTGAATCTAAAACGAGCACTTTGAGGTGATTAGAAGAAGTTTTTAGTTTAGTAAGGTTGAGAAAAATCTAGAAGCTAGAGTTAAGGTTTCTGTTGTTCTCTAGAAATAAAGCATAGTAAAGTAATTAATAAAAATAAATGTATTCTCAAATGAGCGAGCCCAAATTTAACAAAATATCTAAAATTTAACGAACTAATCTAATGAAAATAACTTAAGGATAAAGATAGAAAGTAATAATTATAATCTGGATAACTTGCCTGTTTGGCTAATTCTTCCTGCCTGGCTAACTCGGCTTGTCTCTCAAGTTCGGCGGCCTTCTCTGCAGCTGCTTTGGCAGCCAGTTCTTCTTGTCTGGCCAACTCTGCTTGTCTTTCGATTTCGGCGAACTTTTCGGCCGCGGCCTGTGCAGCCAACTCCTCCTGTCTGGCTAATTCGGCTTTTCTGGCAGCCTGTTCCTCTTTCTTGGCTTGTGCTTTTTCTCTAGCTTGTTCCTCGGCTACAGCTCTAAAATATAAAGAGGTTTTTATTGTTTTGGATGAATAGTGTGTTTAATGTTATATTAAAATTGCGGTGGAATGTATTTTGAATGAAGGAGACATAAGACCATTAAGGCAATGTGCCTAATTTAAAAAATATTGCAGCTTTCTGAATTTTTCCCACAGTTCGTTACATGACAGAATCTATTTAAACCGAACCTCTTGCGAAAAGTAAAATTTGGTGAGAAATACCTGATATACAATTATATGCGCGCCATTGGGAATACTTCTCGGTGTTATGTGTCTCAAGAATATTGAGAGCTTTAAATTTGTACAACAATAAGGCAGCACTCTACAGAAACATTTAAAAACTACTAGATATTTATTAAAACAAAAAGCAGCAACTTTTCATAGATTTAATTCAGAATAGGGAGTAATTTTTTTGTTCCATTTCAAAATTATCAAAATAAATACTTTTCGAAGGTTTTCAAAAAAAAAGTTTCTCCAAATGGTTTGTCAGATATTAAAATATATTTTTTTAAATATTTAACACAGGCTTTGAAATCAGGGATGTAGATCTATTTCTTCTTCTTTTTTGTATATTTTATTTATAAACTTTATTTCTGCCTCCAGTGAACCGATTAGATTCTGGGCAGAGTCGGAACATCTGGGGGGGTACTTTATAGGTAGTTATTTTTATATTTTATGGAATATATCTGTTATTTACGGTTTGAGAAGAAAATTTTTAAAATAAAAGTTACTTATATTATTATTATCTATAATTTTTATTCCATACAAAATTTTCCTAAAATGGTCCGTATTCGAGAAATTTGACAAAATGTAAAAAAATATTTTTTTATAAAAATTGTTTCAATAAAAGTTGTTTGTAATATAATTTTCTATAATTTTTATTTAATACATAACTTCTCTAAAATGGACCGTATTCGAGATATTTGAGAAAATGTGTAAATTTCGAATTTTTAAGAAAACTCAAAAACGGATAAAGGAAAAAACATTAATTTTAAACTTAAGTTTTATTTTGGCCTGAGATTAAATTATTTGATTTTGAACCAAGTCAGAGCATCTGGGGGGGTACTTTATAGGAGGTACGTTTTTATATTTTATGAAATATAGCTGTTATTTATGTTTGGAGAAGCAAATTGTTTTAATTAAAGTTACTTCTAATATTATTGTCTATAATTTTTGTTTTGTATGAAATGGTCCGTACTCGAGAAATTTGACAAAATGTGCAAAATCCTGATTTTTAAGAAAATTGTTAAACTATAAGTTGTTTGCGTTATCGATCTTTATAATTTTTGTTTAATACATGATTTTTCTAAAATGGACCGTAATGGAAAAATTTGAGGAAAAGTGCTAAATTTTAATTTTTTAGTATTTTCGTTTTCAATGAATATCTATAGAAAAATGTTTCGAAGTAGATGTATCTGGAAAATGTATATATTTAGTTTATCATCTACACATTTATAGAGGTGCTGCAATAGGTTGTACAAAATAACCGGAAAAAGCTTATAATAACTAGATAGGACAGTCATGTGTTGGACACATCAGATTTTTTGTGTTACTGATGAGCTTTTGTATACAATTTTTATCGTTTATACTTGTTTTGCAAATCTATACTATTGGGATCGTTGTGTAATTTCTTAGACAAATTATGTTCTTAGTCGGATGATTTTTGTGAGTAGGTGTTGAAAAAACAATTGATTTTGTTGAATGTTCTATAGCATCTTGTAGTATATGCACAAAATAACATGAAATGTTAAATTTGTTACAGTTACTGTTTTCTAATTTTCACATCTTTTTTCCTAAATCAATCACTGCCAGCATTAAAAAATATTTGAATGTGAGATTTCAAATTTCAATACCCCAAACTTAGTCTCCTTACCTAAATTCACCTTACAAGTGCAATTACAGAACTAAAAAATTTAGAAACCGAACCCCTCCCTCCCGGTTGCCAATCGATTGCACTCACTTTTCCTCAGCTAACCTCTCTTCCTCCTGCTTCTTTTTGGCCTTGACGGCATCGTCCACCGTTACCGAAGATCTCACCACTTTCTCCTCCTCGTTGATGAAGGCCATTCTGGCAGCTCTGGCTTCGCGAAGTTTCTGCATCTCCTTGGCCGTCTCTTCATCGTCCTCGATTTTCTGAGCAGCGAATTTGCGGGTGGGACGTGCGGGGTTTAGGGGAACTGAAAGAATGAAATGTGCGGTGGTGAAAATGATCGTGATAGAAATGTCGGTAATATTGACATTTTGGTGGAAATGGTATAAAAATATAGATTCGGTTCAATAAGATTGATTGATTTTAAAAGTATATTCTGAGCTTATTAGTTACTCTAAAAAGATGTCTTCATTATTTCAAAGCTGTTGATTTAATCATGAGTCTTATACAACTCTCCACTGGGAGCATTTTATTATCGAATTTTGGTGTTAAATTTTTGTTAGTTGGTTTCCCAAAACAGTAACCAATTGATTAAGGGAGCTGTTATTGGTTGATATACTTTTTCCAAATAAGTTTGTAATTTTGGTGTATAACTATTTAATTATTCTAGTTTTCTTCTAGCTTTTATTTGTCGTAAGTTTTTTTATTTTTATTGTAAATCCTTATCAATAGAAAGAAAATTATTGTTTTTTCCCACAACAAATTTATAAATTCTTTCAAAGACATATCGATATTAACATGATCATCATAAATGTTTCAAATTATTTATTTGAAAAGTTAATAAAAGAATGGAATTATCTCTAATGAGTTGCTTAGAGATTGCACTATATGTTTGACAAATTTAGGAACAATATTTTATGTAGCGCGAAACAGAAGTGGATGCGATATCAGCGAGTGTATGTGGATAATAATCTTTCGATGTTTTAAAATATCTCGTCAGATGTACCTCAAGGCTATATTTTGGGCACATTATTATTTTTTGTATACACATCAGACTTGTCTAGAATACGAAATAATTGCTGATTACAATATGCTGACGACACACAAATAATATGTGTATTTGGTCTTATTGGCGTTGATAATGTAACAAGTTCATTAAATAGTGATTTAACTTTGATTACTACTGAATACTACACGTATTCCAAAAATGCTTTTTTTAACAAAAATTGGATATTGTTAATGTTAATATTACTGAAGAGGTAAAACATTTAGGTTTACTTATTGACAATAAACTAAGATTTAAAAGACGTACTACAAAAGTATTACTACAAGATACGATTATTCTATATTAACAAGTATATTTTGAAGTGCAAAACTCATCAAAAGTTATGTGAGTGTTTTCTTCTTCTGCCATTAAATTATTGTAAAATTGTTTATTTCCCCTCTTTAAAATAAGATATCCTAAAACCAGCTTCAGCGTGTTCAAAATAACTGCTGTAGATATATCTACAAATTAAGAAATTTGATCATATCTAACAGTATTTTTTTTAATTTATATGATTACAAAGTATTTTTTTAACATTTAATTTTATGAATATTTCTATTAATCAAATCCAAGTCCTGTCAATATATGTAATATATTGCAATGTTTGAAAGAATGTTCACGTATTATAACGTAATGACTGTTTAATACATTCCAGTTTTTAAACTGGAATTGTTCTACTGCAAGTTTTTGTTTCAATTTAAAAATATTTATTATTTTAATGTTAAATTAAGGCAGTAGAATTTTTACTATTATTTGATATATGATTTTTTATACTTTTATGCAAATATTGTATTGTTTGTAAAATAAGGAGACAAAAAATTGTCACTGAAGATATTTAGGTAGTGGAATCCACATCTTTTTAGACTTAATAATAATTTTTATTTTTCTTTTAAAATCCATCACTCTTATTTTGACCATCCATATAATAACAAAAAATAGATATGAAAAGTACATTTGAAGCATGTTTTGACATTTCAGGAGATGATTATATGATTAATTTGAGACAGAAAAGATCCTATGGTAGGCCCCTATGTGTTTCTTATGTACCTAGTTTTAAATTTTACCTATTTTTTATTTATTACCTTTAAATATTATAAAGGGCTCACAAAATTTGACGATTCTATATAATATTTATTAAATACCGACTCTTGACTAGTTATTATATATTTTCTACAAAAAATGTTTATGGCTTATTAAAATAATATACATAAGAAAAGCATTTTTATGAATGTATCGAAATTGCGTTACCTATGATTATAGTTGGCAGCAAAATTAACAAAAAAGTGTGACTTGCCTCTAGTCTAAAATAATGTGGTAAATTGTTTTATATTAACAACAAAGACAATAAATTGTATTTTTTGCATATTTTTATAATAATATGCTACTAAAATGGTAAACAGACATTTCTGTAACAGTTAAATCTCAATAAAATGACGCAATTATTGTCAATATATTTTTAAGAATTTTCTCAGGACTCTCAGGATCTACCATTATCTGAATTTATCTTTTTTACATTATTTTTTATAAATCATTTGGTAGTTTTAATTTTGACTAATATCTGTCTGTCTGTCGAACATAGCTCAAAATTCATACTTTGTTCATTAATAAATAAAAACCTATTTTACATGATATTATAACTATGTACTTTTATGAGAGATTTGGTACAAATGAAAGTATATTCCTGTGGATACCTAAAATGATAAAAAATAGTTTCCTGTAAACCTTAAACTACTTACTGCGATAATCTCGTCCTATTGTCCAAATATCGCAACTGACTACGTCCTATGTAGTATTTCTGTAGATAAAAGTATTTTTATACTTAAAATTTACATAAATAATTTTTGCTCTGTATATGTAAATATAAATTTCCATACAATTTGAATAAAAAAAAAATCATTAATTTTATTGCCTACAATTCCAATGAATAGTACTTCTAAAACTTAGAACTAAGAACTATACTGCTGCTATTTGGAATTACTAATAGTTGTTAAAGAAGTTTCGGAAGGTTTTTAAATATTACATGGCTTTTTCAGTCCATAAAGGTTCCCACAGGTTCTAATAATTAGTGTAGGTAACGTTACGAAGGTTAGTAGGTATTTGATTGCATTTCTCCTAGACTTATGTTCACCTAGGCTTAAATCTTGCACAAATATACTCACGTAAAGCTTTCACACAGCGTGAAGAATCATTCAAGAAATATTATTGATTCCCTTTGACGGGAACAAGACAATAAAGTTTGACAACTCAAACATATGGTATATTTTAAAACCTATGAGGCGTTACAAAACCTAAAACAGGTAGAAGGCCAACCAAAAAAGAACCAACTGATTCCAATATGATTCAGAAGGAATGATAAAAAAGTTTTCCTGAATTATTAAATATACAAAGAGTTATACAAAGAAAATAACATAATACACTTAGTAATAATAGATAACGTAAGCCAGTGCAGAGTATCTTATGTAATGGTCTGTGACTATGTTATACAGGGTATTTTCGTATTTTTTTATTACACGTGTTAATCCCGAAAAATGGTTTAATGTTAATTTAGTTAATATATTTTTTTATTCAACTTGTATGTAAATAACATTAATTCATGTTGTAATTTATCTCAGTGAAACTTGAATACATTAAAATAAGTTGTAATGAAACCCTATTCCACTAACTCGGGTAGGCATCAAGTTTTTTATTTTTCTTATACAAATTTAACGAAAATATTGAAAAACTTACCTTTTTATATCATCTGTTTACCCTCAAGAAATTATTAAAATATTTACGTCTGTGATTTGTATATTATAAGAAATACCTCCCTTTTTACAACAAATTATTTAATTAATTGAGTAAATATACTACGGAGAGACTTAAAAACTACACATCATATGAAAATTTTATTATTATAATAAAAGTTGGTGCTTAATAAATTTAAGGAAAGTCAAAATATTTTAAAAGTATTTATTTTTAATTTCTTGTAGTCTATAAGGAAAGCATCTATAGGAATCATTATTTCTGTTCGTGTGTCTGTATCTACGAAAACTCAAAACAGAATAAAGAGAAAAATACCAAATTTTAAAGTTAAGCTTTAATCTATTCTGGGTAAGCACCTAGGTATTGTCCATCCAAACAATAAGTCAACTATAAAGGAATACCGCAAACGCAAAAAAAGTTCGGCACCGGTTTGAATAATTCGAAAAAAAATTGGTATAGGTAACGGGTTGCTTGTCGGAAGTCAGCTAAACTAACTCTTTGATAGACCGCCCCATAGACGGAGATATATGTTTTTACTTGAAATTTTATTTAATAATTTAATTATATGTACGTATTATAGGTATATGTTTCTTTCGATTTGAAGATTTAAAATTAGGTATATACATATATACCTAATTAGAATAAAATAAGTAGGATTTATAACTGATGTTTTCCTTCAACGATTTCAGTGTTTTAGATAAAATTTTGCAATTTTTCTCCAAGAAGCGTGAATAGCTTTGTCGGTATACTGCCTCTGTAAGTATATTGTTTTTGGCGGTGTATCGCCTTTGACGGCTATTGCCTTTGTCGGCATATTTTCTTTGTCGGCATATTGTCTTTGTCCATTTAAAGAGCCGAATTTTTAACCAATGCCGAAAAGGAAAATGAAATGTATTTGAATAAAAATAATTATTTTTACTTTCAGTGTAGTTTTGTTCATCTTAGTGACCTGTTGAGTTTTGTACGGATAACAGCTCCTGAATCGTACTTTTTAAAATTTAACAGAATATTAGTTTCTATTTTATTAGTGTTTAGTTTCGTTTTATTAACAATTAGTTTGTGTTTTGGAGGTTATATAGTAATTTTAATAAACGAATAATAATTTTTGTGTATGTGTTATTATAACTATGTGGAGACCGTGGGATAGTATTCCGAGCACCAGTACATCAAACAGTGATGGAGAAACTAATGCAGTGCCTGCGCAAATAAAAAATAAACTCTTTATAAATGAACAGTCCCAGCAAATTTGTTTAAATGTTTATAAAAATTTGTTAAAACGTGGATATATTGAAAACACTTCTACCGTTCAAGAAGCAGCGTTTCATACTGGTATATCGGTTTATAAAATAAACCAAATTATAAAAAATGGAATTTCCAGCAGAAAAGTCCGTGAAGACAAAGGTGTGCAAAAAAAATTAGATCCAGCCATGGCCAAATCCATTGTGAATACAGTGTATGAACTTTATAAACAAAATACCATTCCCACTCTTGATATTATACATAGACGCTTAAGGGAAACT